ACTAGAAGGAAGACTGGAAGGAAATGTTTTCTGTAAATTTATTTGTAAAAGATAGCGTATGTTTAATCATATGCTAATCATAATCATTTTAAGATCAGGTTTGGAAACCACAACATTGGACCGATACCTATTTATATACTCACTTTAACAATCATAAAAGCAGAGACTCAACACTGAAAATCTGAACCTTCCTATCATTTCCCAGAGTCATCTTAAAACACTTACAGTTATGCTTAGTTAGATCTCCATGTAGTCAGACACACCTGGTAAAAATACTGATCTCATAATAGAAAGAAAAAAAACTTACATCTACATTTCGACCCAACAATTGTTCATCACTTCTTGACAGCACGTATCGACGGTGATTTTGATAGAAGTTTTGCAGGCCATAGTACATAAAAACATCACCCTAGAATTCAAGAATACCACTCTTCAATAAGGTGAGCTCAAGTAGACAAAAAGTCCTATTAACTACTGAAAAAGAGAGTGAAAGAGAGAATAATTCATACTCCTTGGTAACTACATTCTAACTAATTACTCCAGCAGATGTCATTTATTATCTATTCTTTACCCTTTTAGTTGAAAGCTTTTGTATTTGGCATGAAATTAAACACACTTTAAAACACAAAATGAAACCTAAAATGAAAAGGCATCATTAGTATTTTACTCAAGATGGTAATAACTGGTCCCGAAACTGCAGTGAGTATGAATTATTGAATGGAGTCGGATGCCCATTTTCTACAAAAGAAAGATGCCAAAACAACTTCAAAAGAGAGCCACCAGCCTTAATTCCTGCAGATTTTTTAAAAAATAGGACTGCCTCTACTCAATTATCTAAGTCCTTTGGAAAGCTTAGTCCTGTAATTAAACAGAGAATGTTAAGCAGGCAAATATAAGCAACAAAGAGGTTTAGTAATCTATTCAAAAACCATAATCCAATTAAATAAACTTCTGATGTCAAATGTAACTATATCTGAAGGATTACTCAGAGAATGTTAGCAACTTCTTTAATACTGAAGCAACATAAAGCAACTTTATAATTTAATCACACTATAATATGAAGGGCTCATCTATGCAGTACTAAGTGTAAGATCCCCTTATACAGAATAAGGCAGAATAAGGCAGAAGAATAAGGCACTTTAGCAGCCTTACAACACAACCAGCAGTTCAGGACAGGAAATGAAGGATACTTCTCCCAGATGAAATTGCAGAATGCCACTGCTAGACTTGAATTGTTTCAAGGACCCTGGAGATCAACAGTGTAATCCCTGTCAAAAGGACTGCAATGGTTTACTTATGACAAGTGGTCAAAGTTTCAGATTTCTTTCTCATTTAAGAGTTTAGCAGTACAGTAACAACTCCAGGCCAAGGGCTAGAGTTCTCTACTGACTCAGAGAGAGAAATCACCTCCATAGACAAACACCACTCCCTCCATCCCCAATTCCTACTTGAAGATCTCCCGTCCAAGGGCAGAGGGATCCTGATCTGGATTATTTTTAAACACAAGCCCCAAACCAACAGCAAATGCAAAATAGTAAAATTCTGAGTATTTCATGTCCCTAAAAGCAAAAAGAAAATTCAGACAGGTGCTCTACAGAAGAAATTTAGCATATTTTATCATTCATGGACATAGCTATCAGGAAGTACTAATCAACTTGGCTGGTTTCTGATATCCACTTACCAGCATATCTTCTGCTAGTGTGAAATTAATAGAACAGAGGCATTCACTGTTCCAATTAGAGGAATTTTCACGAAGTTTTGAACAATTTGAGCATTTATCTGTATAATCAACCTGTCAGAGAAGTGAACAAGCAGAGACGTTGCATTAGAGGACATGAACACAGGAAAAGATTAGTGTTTTAGCTACAAGACCTCTCAGGGCAGTTCTAAGTGATCCTGGATTATAACAAAACTCTTAAAATCAACAGAGATATAGAAAATCAGGACTTGATCTCAATGGAACATTCACAAATTTTATCCCTACTTAAAAGCTGCTTTAGAGTTTTCTGATTGCTGCAGAACCTCCAAATTTGCTCCTTGGCAAAGGAGTGCTGACAAACAAACACCTTTGCAGCTTGGTCTGGCTTACCAAGTAACGCTTGACAAAAGCCCACACGAATTATGGTTCACATCAATAGTCTGGATGTAGTGCCTGAGAAATGGCTCCAACCAGGAGCAGGTTGACAGCAGAAGGTTTAACCAATTCTGCTTCCAAGAAACAGCATTCAAACATCAGGGCTCCCTGCACTTTAATATTTTGCCCAAGCAAATATTTATCTCCTAGAGCCAAATACCAGGAGGAGGAGATAATGACATTTAGATATTACCACCCAGTGGTAATTATTTCTCAGTTACCCACTCAGAGCTTGGCTGTCATCAGTGACCATCTTTCTGAGAACTTTCACAGGAATACTGGCTGCTGGATGCGCGCAAGACATAAAGCCAATGCTATCATCTCTACCAAGGCACACAAATTCAATGCTCTTCCTCCCCCTCCCCCCAAATACAGACTATCTCTTTCTTAACATAATACCAAACACCCACTCCAAACAGACCTGGATTTCTCTGACGCTGTTTGCAGCTACTATGAGAGAGACTCCCACAGAAAGGCAAAACGCTCCCGTGAGAAAGAAAGTGGAGAGCACAGATGCCGTGGTAAGTCGGGGCTTCCATGCTGGTAGCTTCTGTTGTTTGAATGCACTGTTATCTGGACACCTGGAAGGACATGCTTCTGCTTCTTGTGAAGCAGAACTCTTCTTATTCTTCATATCCTTCTTGTGAGAGGAAGAAACAACATACTTGTGCTGGACGGTGTTTAAGCTGAGATACAGTCTTTACTGTCGGGAAACTGTATTGCTTGTTCAGATCTGCATTATGACTAGGAATTACTTATTAACTAGATCTCTCTCTTCCTCCTTTTCCACATTTGTGTATGGATTGCCACCATCAGCTTGTACCAATCAGATGATTGTGTACTCCGGTCAGAACGTCCAGATCATGCTTCCTGGAAAAGCTTATATATTTATTCCTGCCCCACAGTACAATAGCATTTGTTAAGTCTTATTCATTTGTGTGGATACTGCCAGCTATACTAGAATTTGTGTGATCTCAGATTCATCATTTCTTCTCCCTTCACTTCTATAGTTGCCCAGCTAATAGACATGGGATAAAAGAAAAGACCTATTCCAGCTCACTGGATGCCACTGAGGAGGACTGGAGGGACTGAGAGTGCTGGGAATACAACACTACTTTGTAAATCCAAATAAACTTTCTTAACCTGCATTCATTGCTATTGATTAAGAAGCAATTTAAAGTTCTAAAATGCTTTGTATTGTTTAGCACAATAGGGAAATTAATTCTAAAAATGTCTCATTTGGATTCTTCCAAGATGCTGACGATTTGCCTACCTCTATTCATCTTCTTTTTCCATGCAATAAATAAATAAAAAAATAAAAGCACCCTTCTACTCACAATTACAGAAGAATCACCCACAGACAAGCTCTTTTCAACTCCAATGGACAAAAAGTAGAATATTTTTTGACGACTTCAACAGTTTAATCACAAACTCTGTTTGCTAGACAGATACTTTAAACATAATTTATCATGTAATAACAAAAAAAAATAGGATTTGGCCAGCTGTAAAGCAGATGAGAGAAAAATATTTTTTTGCCAAATTGCTGAAATTCAGACATTTCCAAAGCTATTTTAAGGCAAGAACTAGCTTACCACTCCTGTGAGAGAAAGAGGTAACTGAGAATTGAATTGTACAAAAACTTTCACACTCACTTTTGCTCTTAAAAATGGCATGTAATGGTAAATCTTGTGGGTGAAAGCAATATACATTTAACTTCGCTTTTGCACTGCCTGTACAATAAAAGACTACCAATAAAAAAGTACAAATAAAACTTCTGTTTTTATTATTAAAAGTAACCTCAGAATAAAGTTACACAGCACATTCTTTCTGCATCAATTATCTCTGAAAAATCAAAATTCTTAATCACCATTGACCACTTGCAGACAGGATAGAAGTAAAATGAACCTGTAAGTCACTTCCTTGTGGGTAAAACTATTAAAAGAGTCCCAGCTTCACAGACCCCTCTCTGCACAGCTTTATAATCCTCGTCTCGAGTAGGTCGATTGTTTCTTTCTTTATCTAAGGAAGACAAAATTCAAAGAAGGCATCAAAGGTTACTGGTAATGCTTTAGCTAAACACCATGATTTTATTTATTTACTCAGGTATCTTACTGTAGAACTAGAAATTAAAGGAGAAGTTACCACACAAGGCCCTTAGCTCTACAATGGTTCCATTTTCCTAGAATCACAGGATATATTGAGTTGGAAGGTACCCAACAAGGATCACTGAGTCCAACTCCCAGCCCCAAACAGCACCACTCAAAATCCAAACCCCATGTCTGAGTGCTTCCAAAAGCTCCCAGAACTCAGTCAGCTCAGTGCCCTGGGCAGGCTGTTCCATGCACAGTGCTTTCTGGTGCAGCCCCTGTCCCTCACCCCCAGCTGCCCTCCCCTGACGCAGCTCCATGCCGTTCCCTCAGGCCCTGTTGCTGTCACACGGAGCAGAGCTCAGCGCTGCCCCTCAGCTCTCCTCATGAGGGGCTGTAGGTTGCCATGGGGCCTCTCCTCTAACGTTTACTGTGCAGTCCTAAGGTACAACAACAGCTCATACAACACAGCTACACAGTAATTGGCACAGTTGATTAAACTTGGCAGAGCAAGAGATACACCCTGGGCTGCAAGATTTCTGTAGGATTTTACAGTGTATCAAGTGTTATCAATGAGTCCAAGGGTAGTCCTGCACTGTAACAGCCACACAATGTTTGTGGCTGAGACTCCTGAATGAAACTGAGCATTCAGGTATAACTAAGCCACATGCAAAGTACTCTGGTTTACAACATGGATATGACTGTACCTTACTGCTTATCTAAAGATCAAAAACAAATGTAAACAAGGGTAAGAATAGATGACATATTTCAGCAGATGAGATGAGGACAGGAACAGCAAGTAGTTTGCACCTTCAAAATGAAGCAATGGATTTTCCCATGAGTAGACAAGAGGTACGTATTCTTCCAGCTGTTCCTGTTTTCTGCACATTTCATTAAGCAGAGAAGTCTATCTACATGAAAATTTAGCACTGTAACACCTTAAACATATAAAGATATTACTGACAAAACAAGATTTGGCAATGGAAACGTGTCACAATGCCTTTTTTCCAATTCTAAAGCACAATTTTGCCTCCACAATTGATTTAGGATAAAGAAAAATAGAACATTGAATTGCCAATTTTCATGCTGGTGGAACTAAATCACCTCTTTGAGTAAACATATGACTATTATTATCATGCATTTGACAATACTTCTATAGATAGAAGAGAAAGATCCGCTGCTTACTGAGACTGTAGTTTGTATTTTAAGTTTGCAAGCTGCTAACATACCACTGTCTTCTACTGCATTAAGGTGCACTATTTCAAAAACATTAGCTGGATATTTTTTATTACTGATATTTCTTAAAAATAACTTTCAGGAATCTACGTGCTGTCTCCAGCAGGAAAAAAAAAGCTGTAAGGTACTCCACTTACATCGCCCAACACGTCAAAAATCTTTGTTTTAACTGAGGCAAGGGCAGATCTGAAGACTTTGCTGTAATCACATTCACTATTCTGTAACCAAATATAAAGGACCTATCCTTAGGTTAACACTATGTCCAAAAGTGTAAGATTCTTTCTTGGTTTTACCTGAAACTAAGCCTGGATATTGATTTCTATAATTTCATTGATGGTCATTTTCCCTTAACAAAATAGAGCCAAAGTCAATTTGACCTGTATTCCTAGGCAGACATGCCAAAATGCTGTGATGCCTCCTACAGAGAGCTGAACAAGATGTTTCAAACTTGCAATATCCCCAAATCAAATGTTAACAATATAATATTTATTTCTTTTTCAACGGATCACCTGTAGGCTACTGTGCGTATGTTTACTTCAGCTGACTCGCAAAAATCTGTCCCAGTGGCAGCAGCACTTGTACTACTATCCTGAGGTAACATGCCTGTGAATGCAGGTTCTCTGGTGTTAAAAAACTTACAAATAAGTGCTAGCACTGTACAAAAGATTCTCAAGCATTTACCACAAGAGGGAGCCTCCTTGCCTCAGTATGCAAAGCTGTTCTTTTCCCTGCTTCATTTTGGCAGTGTGTTTTTTGCAGGGTGCTTTATCCAAGATTATTAGAAAGTTGCATCTTTGTGTGTGGGGAGGGACTATAAAATACGGCACATTCAAAGATATAGGCAGGTGCAGAGTAGGAATAATGACTGACCATTTTTATTTCACTTGTGAAACAGCTTCCTATCTGCATGAATGGAAGCTGTTTCCCAGTATGGAATGCATATCAGCCTGTGAAAATGTATAGTGAAACGGGAGCTCTCTAGCAGAGACCACTAGAGCAATCCACCTCTTTCTGCTGGACACTAGCTGATGGCCCACAGCATATGGTAAGCATATCTTGTCATAGCAATTAATGTGGAAGTTGGATTACAGAATTAAAAAGCATGGGGAGCTATCTTAAAAAAGAGTCTACAAATAATGGATGGTTCTACATAGTTTGCAACCTACCTCTTTTCAAAAAAGGAAAAAAAAAAAAACAAAAACCTAACTATACAAAGTTATTTTACTCTCAGAGACCAATAAATGCCATCCAAAGCTGTATTTAGTTTTTGTGGAAACTTTTTTTTGCATGAAGTACTCTCACTGAATTTCCCGGGAACAGGCAGAACAACTATTTAGCATAAACAGCAGAAATTCACAGCACAGCTGTATGAGTCACAGCTGTGACCTGTAATAACAACAAAAGAAACCAACTTCCTCAAGAGGTAATTTTGAGATCCAAGAGTACAGATTTTCAAGTGAAACAGTGACTTGTTTTTGCATTCCTAGACTGCTAAGTCTGCTTTATAGAAATAAATCCTTACTGACCAAGGCACTAGAATCAAAAGCACTGAGTACACAGAATATTATATATACAGGTGCTCCTACAATACCTCAGGGATATCCATCATTCTCCTTAGTTTCTGATCTCTCCAGTTCCAATCCAGAATAATATATTTTGTGGAGTTCAAACATAGGCCATCTAAAAAAGACAACATAGCATGTGCATATCAAAATTGTTTTTTATGTTTTACATCTTTTGCTGTCTGTTCCCAAAGAAACTAATCTTTGAACACTACATTTGTGCTTGGAAAACTAATGCAGTGACACTGCAAACTCCTTTAACCACATAATCCTATGCCTTTTTGAAAGATAAACACAAAAGCGGAACTGTTGCCAGGCTTGTCAGGAGCTAACATCCTGCCAGCACATAATTCCTCAAGCTTCCTCTTGATGAAACCACAAGAGTTGAATTTCCACAGCTCATGAGGAGCTGGTAAGTTACAGGGACCTTAGCCTGAAAAATCTTATTAATGTGAATTGATGGTGTTTAGGAATTTAAAGGATCAAGTGCTATGCGAATGTGAGTCAGGTCAGTGGTGCTGTTGAAGGATTCCTTCATTCTCCAAACAAATTCTGTTGAAGGAAGAAGGTTCTTTCTGAACCTGCCCTCCAGTAGTTCTCCTATTTTTCCCTGGTCTTCTACATGCTGTCCACAGTTCTTCATATCGCTTTTTACTCCTCTCCATTTTTCAGTGACCTAGCACTGCAACACTAAGCTGTCAAAAAAGGATTAGACACCTTGTGTCCCTACATGAGTTACATGGTAATATGCCAAAGTGTCGAAGAGCAACAATTTAACACTGGTGAAGGACATAGCAAAAAAAAAAAGCTATTCCTGTACCCCACTGGAAGGAGCTTTAGAGTTCAAATCTACAGACAGACCCTAACCAAGAAATCACAGTTGGGGAAAGGCAGTGCTTAGAAAGAGAAATGGAAAGAATCGCCTTATCTTGTCATTTTTGTTTGTTTTAATTTGTGCACGTGGTGTCTACTGAGTAAGTAAAACTGGAAAGAGAAAAGGACATTTATATATTTGATTTTATCATGCACAAATCATAACTAAAATCAGCAAGCAGATCTTGTCCACTCCATACAAAAATTTATGCTGAGCTCAGAGTGACATATGATACCACGACTTCTGCCATTACTTCCTTTTGATTTACTTGCAGTGTTTGGTTTCCTGGAACTTTAAATCTTACATGATGGTTTTGCAATCATTTTCAAGTCAGCATAAATCAGTATTCCTGCCAAAGGAGGAAGTCCTCCACCTTAGCTTGTTCATTACCTGATTTTGTGTGCATGCTGGTTTTGTTTTAATTGGGATCAGTTCTAATTGGGATCAGGTCACTGAGCTGCCAAACATACCCTTGTGCCAGAACAAGAGACAGGATGGGGTGACTAAGTGGGTACTGATTGTGTGAGAGGCACTACTTTGCCCTTCTCTTGTAACACTGATTTATTCCAGCTTAAAGTGTTTATTAAATCAACTGTTATTAACTGACCTCATTCTGACTGACACAGAAGAGGAAAAGCAAAACTGCAGAGCTTAGTTCCTAAATCTATGGACTCATACCAACCTAAGCACTTCAAAAGCTAAGTCTCACTTCCTCTGAGATCAAGTGTAGGATAACCCATTGATAAAATCCTCATTTTTCTCCTACCTTGCTCCACCAGTGCTTTTATCCTCCCAGGAGTTCCAACTCCAATGTGGAACACACCTTTCTCCAACATATTCATCTGTTCTTTTATCTGATTTGAAGAAAGACAAACCGCAGTGAAACCACAATTGTTTCAAATTTCTTCTCAAAGAACATCTCCAGGCTGGAAATAAATCCAAGATTATGCAGTATCTCTTTCTAGACTACTATCAAGTAACAAATGCTGTTCATTTATCAAGCTATCAAGCTGATCTTCTGGGGAGAGCATAACAGTCAGCAGGGCATCACAATTCTTTAGAATATTTTCAGTTTTGAATAACTGCAATTGCAACAACTATTTCTGGAAGTGAGAACAGTAGGTTTTCTTCTGTATTTAAACAAACTCTCTGTAAATATTTGGGAAACTGACAAATCTGACTTAGATCAAAACTCCCTCAAGATGATGACATTGGAAAAAATGAAATAAAGCAAGTGACATTTGTGTTTGACAGTATTTATATCAAAGGCTAAATTTCCACTTATTACTTCCCATATTCCCACAGTTTGTGCTTTCCAGCACGTACGAATACTGGATAACTAGACAATTTCATCAGCATGTGCAAATGTGGATGCTTTTACAAATGCGTGAGTCTTCGATTTAAACAGGTAAAATACATTTGAATGAGCATGTCACAGCAATGTGGAATATCTTTAACACATAGCAAATGAATAAATATTTATACTCCGCACAGGATTTTGCCAGAATTACTGGAGATGGTATTTGGCTAGATTTCTCCAAGAATCAAAACCTGAAGAAAGAAACGCTAAAATGAAAGGCACTGTTGTTAAATGTATTAAAAACATGGTTTGACACTAGTTAGTTGTTCAGTTCTTCTGTCACTTTTGCAGCTTTCTTACCTTTATGTGCTTTGCAAACAATTTCAGAACTCTGCAGTCGCCTTTAAATACTGTCATTGACCTAGAAATAAAAAGAAAAAGAAGGAAATGCAAGTATCAGGGCTGAGATTAAGACCACACAGGAGGAAAACAAAACTAGCCAGGATTTCTCAACATACTTGAGAGACACAGTTCCCCTAGTGACCCACACTAGTACTGTGAACACTACGTATGGTCTCTCTTCATTATTTGCAGTGATAAACAACTGGACAAATACAATAGCAGATATCACTAGAGGGCAATATTGCTTAGATAGCTTCTCAGATAATGTTGAATAGTTACAGCTTGTGCTTCCACAACTAACAGTTCGAAACTGACTAATCATCAAATTGTAATTAAAAAACTGCTCTGTTACTGACATATAGGCATCAACAAACATATGCATGCAGGCAAAGGAAAGAGCTGTGTGTGTATGGATGAATGTACATTTTAAAAAATCTTCCTGAAGCATGGCTGCTGGGAAAACCTAGCCTGCCACATGTTTTCCTGGTCAGATTGTCCAAATTCCAGAGGACCAAAACTCATTAGTCTGAAAACCTGACTTATTCTTTTGATGCTCTATTTGAGCATGCACTAAGAACTCCATGTTCTGTATTAGTCAAGGAGGGGACTACACAGACAGTATTTATGGAATGTCATTTAAGATACTTTCTCTGCATGATTTTTGTGGTGAGCCAAGTTTTCAAACTTCTCTTGTGCAAGGCTAAAGGTTATATATAAGTATACAGACAAACCACTCAGATTCTAATATCTGCATACAGGAGCTGAGCACTACAGGCACATCTACAACATCAATGCTTTTAAGTGCAGCATAAACTTCTCTACTCTTGCTTGTATGTTGTACAGAAAGATAATCTTAGGAAGCAAGGTCAAGACACAGTTGACAGTCACGAAATCTCCAAGGTATACGTTAATTCATCAAGTCTTTTGGAATGAATAGGGGAGGAGAGAGAGGAAAAAGGAGACATGCACACAGATATGGAGGCACTCAGGCCAGACACATGCATTGCCATTTGAGGCTATGCAATGCTTTGTTTCATTGCTTTTGGTGCTATCAGCATCATGGCCTTACAGTCATGACTTCTACTGCTGATTAGGACGCCTTGCGGGTTTACTTTGTTCCCACGTATAACACGTTGCGTGTTCCTCCCAGATTGGTTACACTTCAGTTTTGTTTTTCAACAGAAACAGTGCTTCCATGCAACTGAACTACTAAGTGTTACTTTAGGCTAAAACCAAACACCGCACTCCCACAGTTTAAAGCAGCAAGGGATATTGCATCAGTTTCAGTCAGTAAATTTGTTGGCTAGCAAAGAACAGTGTCCCAGTTTTGCCTTTATGTCTGTGGTTCCAAGACAAAACCTCTGACTGACAGCCAACCTCAGCAAAACGTTTGCTATCAACATACTTCATGAGTTCCAAGGAACGAAGGGCAGAACTGCAGATAACCAGCATCACCACTGACTTCTTCTCCTTGTGGTTTTTACGGAATTTTGCCCACTTAGGACAGACTGAAATGAAAAAGGCCACATACACAGTCAGAGAAAGTACTACTTACATACATGCCACAATTTTATATTACAAGAGTACATGATGAATGGTAGCCAGCAACAAGAACACACATGCTGACTCCTATGAGGTCTGGATCTCTGGCAACACTGTTACATTTAGTCACGGCTGAGAAACTGGAAAATAAAACACCCAAGATAGATAAAATACAGATATGTTATAATGCTGAACAAATTAGACAGCATTAAAAATAAATATTTGGTTAGGTGACATGCCCACTGTCTTCATTTGACACATATGATAATTTGTACTAGGTAAAACCAATTGAAACATTTACCAAACCAGGAGTTCTCTGCAAGAGAGAAAATAATTCTCTTGGTTCAAGTAAGGAGGCAGTGGCAAAACTATTACTGTAAGATAATACATATCTACTCAAGAAGCCACAACAAACAACTTACGACAAAAAATACGACAAATAGTTTGAAGAAACTCTAAAACATTTAGGTCCAAAACAAAAGTTATTTTGTAAAACAAAACAAAACACCTCTCATAGAACAAGCAAGCAAACAAATGAAAAAAAAAAAAAAAGTCACCACCCTGGAAATTATTAACGACACATAATTAAAAATATTTGAGAGTGCAGATAAAAGCTGCAATAATAGCACATAAATAATGTTTTTCATACAACTTTCATTTCATCCAGACCAACATTTTAACTTACTTTCTTTCAGGTATGAAGAAAAACTGTGGGTGAGGTCATTGGCTGGCAAAAAGCAAGAATCTGAAAACATAAAGGAGAAAATATTTTTGTTCATGTATTTTTAAGAACAGAAAAATAGAGCTTACATGTGTGCAGCACAGTTATTAGTTAATTACATTGATGAAATCATATGCGTGTTAAAATTCATCATCAATAAATTACTTTTTGTGAAAAAAGACCCAAGAACACCTCATTTCACTGAGGCTTTAAATTGGGTAAGTCAACAAGGGTAACACCTTACCACCCATTTACAATTCCTCCATTTTATCCTACCATTAAATTCTGAACACAGGGCTGCCTAAGGGTGATCACATGCTTTAAAACAATTTTCCATATTTTTTTCTTTTTTACCACAATCAAGCAAAGGTTTTAGCCAAATGTGTAAATGCAAGAACCTACCAATAAGTGAGATACTGGCCACTCATCCGTCAGTGAGCTGGCTTTACTTTCTGGTCTTGCATATTGTGGCAATTTACCTTAAGTACTAGCCATAATAGTAGCACCTATATTGCACTGTGACTCATTTCCTATGGATTGCCTATCTTTTACCTATGCCATTAGGAAGTAAATCTGAAAAGGACCATAGATGACAGACATGCTATTTGCCTTTAAGGTCCGTTATAGGGGCAACAGAAAAAGACAACGTCCCAACTAAGGTAGTCAGGAAAGTCCTTTTCTCTGGTGCCTATATAGAAAAAGTAGGCTCTTAAAAAGTTGATTCAAAGTAGATGGCCTGAAAACTTGCCATAGCTGTTATAGGTCTTTTGCCTAATGGAACAATATTCTCCCTCATAGCATTAACAACCCTGTCTTCGGGGCCTCACGTATTTGCTGCCATTTTGCATGAAACACTGCACCTCAGAGTGCCTCTCTCTGGAACAAGATGTTTGCTGATTCATTTTAACTAAATTAAAGAGGTTTCCCTACACATGATATTTACCTTCATGTGGATGGCACATTGTGCTAATGCTGGCACTGTCAGTCCATGGTTTCTACCAGAACAGAGAGTGTGACAAACCTGGCTTGTAGCTGGAGCCTGCCTGTATAGTTTCTTGAGAATAACCACTTTCCATCACTATATCCTTCATTTAATTGGTGTTGTCTTGCCAAAAACTTCTAATTTTCCCCAATCCTTTCTATTAAAACCAAAGATTGACATTTACTGGGGCTTCAGCTCCAAAGGAAGTTGAATGTGTACAACTGAAGCATCAACAGCTGATTTAATTTTTAAATTATGTTTAAAAGATGCTTGTGATGCTGGTGGGGAAGGGCAAAGACTGGTAGAGTATCATAAACATTTGGTGGTAAGAGGAGAACTGTAATCACCCACCATAGTCCTTTTCCCTGGTGGACAAAGTACATTAGCTGTTGTTTTGCTGTTCTGAATACACTGACATTATTGACTAAACAATTCAGAAGGTGTTTTCTAAAGCATACGAGCATCAGTTACTGACTTTTCATCAACACTCCAGCAAAACTGAGTATTAACAACTTTTATTTAAAATTTCAGAAAGGGGGGAAAAAATCCACAGCTTCAGCATGCAGCAAGAGATCATGCTGCCTATAATCCAGATCTTCTGCACTGTGTCAGTTAACAAGAACACACAACTCTAAGTACTTGCTTATTTGCTCAGTGCTTTGACGTGAATGACTTGACAGCTGTAGAAGTTTAGTGAACTGCTTGGCTTCTCAGCCTCCAACTCCCAGCACAAAAAGAAAGATTAAAAAATCCCCATCCAACCCAAGAGCCATGTGGAAATGGATCACTTCACTAACCTAAACACCTCTTTCAATAAGAAAGAAACCAAAGCAATTTATTATTTGCTAAATCTCTACATGCCTAGAAATATTTAACATAAGCTTTTGAAAGCAATCTACATGGGACTTCTCCAGGTTTTCTTGATTCAATAAGAAAGCTGAACCTGGCCCAGGAAAGGTCAACATAGACTCGTGATCCTAAAGAGAAGCATATTTATTAGAAAGCCAAGCTTAAACATTAAAAGAGAGAAAGCACTGCTGGGCTAGAAGGGTGCTAGTTTAGGGATAGGTCACCTACAGTTCAAGAAGTATTAATATGTGCAGATTTGTTTCCAGACAGTTTGTTCTTCACATGCACTCTCAACAAATAATGGAATAGTGCCTAGAAAATTGACAGTGCCTCTTCATCTCTAGAGTAGGAGGCAGAGAACATTGCCTTAATCTCTAATGCAATCTCAAGCTGACAGACAGAAGCTACCCCTGCTCTCTCCTGCTTTGACTTTTCTGTCATTAGCTTTGAACTGGAGACAGAGTAAAGGAAACCAAGAGAGTCAGAGTCATGGTTAAAACTTGTTCATTTTCAAATAGGACCAAAACTACCACCTTTTTTTCCATGCCACTCCCTGAAAATCCATTGTGTTCAATATTTCATAACCACACCAGAATCACGTTTTGTTATTTCTTTGTCTACTCCTCTCAGTCTTCCTATTACACATCTGGGTAGACATGGATAATCCCAGAAATGAAATATATTTTCACAGTCTTTCTCAACCAGCATCATGGAACATACTAATTAGGAATCTTACAATTTCTAGTAGAAAAGCAAGCTTCTAAAATTAATACCTTTTTATAATAAGACACATTCTTACTCGGATTTGTTTCAAAGAAATTAATGCCTCTTCTTAGAAGCAAAGTAATAAATGGTATATACAAACAT